ATCTAGCCGTTAATTGCTGAAAGACGACGAATTGGAGTTATTAATTTAGTTCCCAAAAAAGAAGCGACCATATTTTAGGGTCTACTTTCGTTACTTATAACAAAAATACTTCGATAAACAGAAAATTGAAAATTTATTAAAATAAGAGGTTCCAATGACATAAAATACCACCACGAATAATATTTTTGGTGCGGCTAACATTTTTACACTCCAAAACAGTACAATAACTTTTTATAGGATTTTAGAGAATTTGCACGAAATCCAAAGCGAAAATGGCTGACCGAGCTCAAGTAGGTCCTCCGCGACCTATTATAGTTGGCACGCATCGGACGCTAACTAACCACTTCTACTGTATTTATGGTTCTGTGGTCATTACTTTCAAAAGAGAGTGTAATCAAAGGCTACTTAACGTACAGTAATCACAATGTTGCTGCATTAAATTGAAATCGCAATTGCATTAAATTGTAACAAATCGTTTCTTTGTATCGTTTTAAGTTTCTCATTAGTTTATTTGTCACTTGAGTGAATTTAAATTTATGAAAGAAATTGAAACCTGCTTCAGTATCGTATCTGTTATTTACTCTTCTTTTACAATTAATATAAAATGATATGCTCGTCAGAATAATGAATTAATTTAAAGCCCTTTTATTGTTCTACAAATTTAAACTGTTGTGAAGTCTGATAATTCTTGGCAGCGAATGTCCATGTATCAAGGTGGAACTTGAAAAACAGCATGTCGTACTGATGCTCCATCCTTTTCATCACTAGATTCTACTATGTATCTGAAACTGTACCCTTATAATATTTTTTCTTATAAACGTGCTTATAAATAAATGTTTTTTTTATAATAAATAATAGACACACGCTTGGTCACAATCTTACACTGACAGCGACAGCACAGTGGTAGAGAGTTGCGTACTCAAAGATACCGGGCACGAGCGGCAGGTCGTTTTATGTGCATATATGTCTCATTATTATTATTATTTTTATCCACACTGTTTAAGATCTTATTTTATTCAGCAGACATCCATTTCCATATATCTGGTCCGTCCCAAAAGTATCGAACATTTTTCAGGAAAAATACTTTTATTGAACTTATCGGTACCATACATTAGTACTCTTCAAAATAACACCCTTCAGCATCGATGCACTTTTGTAGGCGAGTTTTCCATGCCCGGAAGGCCCCCTGGAAGACGTCAACGGGTAGGTCCTTCAGGGCCCTCGTCGTAGCTTCTTGGATGTCCTTAATTGTGCCCCAATGCTTGCCTTTGAGCTTCGACTTGATGCTGGGAAACAAGAAGAAGTCTGCCGGGGCGACGTCAGGACTGTAGGGAGGCTGCGGGACCAGCGGGCTTCGTCGGTCACCTCTTCCCTTCCGTCACGGAACATCTTGTGCCACTTCCTGACCGAGGATTCGGACAAGGCATTGTCCTTGAAGGCCTGTTTAATCATCTCGTTGGTTTCCACAGTATTTTTGCCGAGTAGAACACAAAATTTCACTGCGTACCTCTGTTCTAACGGATCCGTCATCGCGCTACTTTTAAAAACTTCGACGAGGTGTCGTTTAGAGCTCTACGCGAACGCACGTCCTGCCGCTCCAGGTGCTCGGAGCCAACTGGGACCGGTCGCGCTGTATCGGCTAGATCCCCCCACCACTTTCTGTTGCCAAGCGGAGCGCTTCCCGCCGTTCGGCAACACTCCCAAAAAAAATGTTCGATACTTTTGGGACGGACCCTGTATCTGTATCTGTATAGCTGCCTTTATTCTACGATTTAGAACTAATCATAAGTTCAAGGCCTTCCTATATCAAAAGTTTCTTGCGTGCTTTATTCACGATAAAGTTTGTCATGCTCTATTCGTCACTGAATGATTCGTTCAAAATCCAATGTTCTGTAATACTGCGTTATTGTATAAAGTAGGACCTTATACAATAAAACTGCGTTATTGCATAGAGGCAGCGATGTCAGAGAAAGACATCTTCTTCTTACTCGTATCACATCGAGAGCGTACACCATAATGCTTGCCACCATGGTAAAAGGATCCTAGGTTGTACCAGATGTACAGGAAAGCAATGGTTCAACGTGTGGGGAGACTCCTTTCGTGCTCCCTATTCCTCAGAGCAAAAAATTTGAGGAGACCTTTACTATCACGAAAAACTATGTGTTTCACGGTTGAGATTTTTTCCCTTTACGAGGTTCAAGGACATACAATGTCAATAGGTAGATAAATATGTCTGTGTATCCTTAAAGTTGTCGGTTGCCACCTGCCAGTCAACCCGTAACCATGAAGTGACAAGCCGCTCCGAAATATCGAGAGAAAATTATATGTCACAACGTATTAAGGAAACCTATTACTCTAGTCATAATCATTTGAAGAATATTTAATAATAAAAGGAATCTATCTTTCCCTTAGGCTTACGAGGTTAGTTTTTGGCGGTGTAATAAACGCCATTCTATCCTGATCAAAGTTTTTTCTTTAACCCCCTTATACAGGGTGGAAAAAAGACATGACGGGGAACTTCATTCAATGCTTAAGATAGCCAATTTTACGTACAGTAAACATTTTTTAAAATTAAGTTAATTGAATGTTAGGATGTTTTACTTCCATGATATTTAAAATGGAGTAGAAACCATTTATTACAAAACGCCACAACACAAAAATACACAGGAAGAAATTTAAAAAAAGATAAAGCAAAATTAAAATAAAAAAAAATAAAAGTAATCAAGGATTTATCTAAAGATTTTAATCTTTGTAATAGGTAATGAAATGACCACAAATATAGTCAACACTATTGGGTACTAAGGAGATGTCATGTGAGCGGATGTGGCGTATGTAAAAGGATCCACTCAGCTAATGTCATAAATGTATTTAATTAGTTTTAGTGAAATTACTCCAGTAGTTTGTTACAAAAATCGAACACGAAGAAAAATTCCTTAGATCCGGCTGCATTCGAACTAGTGCCTTCAAGTAATCCATGCTCGACGCTCTCCTAACTGAACTATTGAACGAACCAGCAGATCTTTCGTATTTTTCTATGTGTTTGTTGCAAATATTTGTTTTTTGGTTTTTAACGACTTTTTTGCCTAAGCGCCATTTATGAGAAATTTTATTTCTTCACTCAGCCAATAAAATAGTAACTTTACCGGCTCATGTAAGCTTTTCAACTCAAATAATCTGTGAATGCAGTTATCTATTCATATCAATCAAAATAAAAGAATATTTTATTTAAGTAAATTTAGATATCTTAAGCATTTAAGGTAATAACCTTGTCACGTCCCTTTGATTTTTCCTACCTTGAATAACGTGTCTCCCACTTATCTTTTGATTGTATCAAAGTAACGTTAATCGCCCAAGTTTCCCTTCCACTTTTCTTACGATCAGGTATATACCTTCTGATATAATTAGAATTAAATATTACGTAATTTCGAGCGAGGTTTGTGGTCTAGCAACGATATCTTCTAAGGTCGACAAAACTTTGCCATTGACAAAATTAAATATAGGTATAGTTTCTTTGAGAATCGATCTTCGAATGTGTCAACAAATTCGAAAGTATCAAATGTAATCTCGAAACATAAATAATAATAGTTAGCCTATGTAGGGTCTCACTGCAGAGCACAGAACTCCTATAACAATAGGGACAGGGAGGGCTTGGCTGTAGTTCCCACATGGGCCCTGTGTGGATTGGGAACTTCACATACTTCACTAAATTGTTTTGAAGATGTGTGCAGGTTTCCTCACAATGTTTTTGTTCACCGCTCATGGTAAATTTCATATTAAATTTCGCATACAAATTCCGAAAAACTCCTAGGTGCAAGCCCGAATTCGAATTCACGGCCCTCTGCACACACATGGTAACAAATGACAGTAGGCTTTAGATATAGAAAAAAAAAATAGAAAGATAACAAAATATATTGTGTGTATACTTTACGTACGAGCATACAATATATTTTGTTATCTTTCTATATATAAAACAAGCCTCAAGCAGAGGGTGGTGAATTTGAATCCGGGCTTGCACTTTTGAGTTTTTTGGGAATTTATGCACAAAATTGTATTCTAAATTCATAATGAGGATACCTGGGCACATCTGCAAAGCATCTGAATTGTATTTATAATTTTGCAACATGTCTACTTTATACAATAGATTTCCCTAAGCAACTACAACTCCTGTAGATGTCATTGACCTATTTTATCTAAATTCAGCATCGCGGTGTTAAGATTTTCTTTCGAATAGTGACTGCCTCGACCGAATTTTGGTTAAATGAGGCAGATATCGGTGCAGTCAATTTGTTTCTAAGGGTCGTATTCCAGAACTCTACTCAATGCTCAAGTCAGGATTTGAGCAGACTTAAGTATGATTTCAAGCACTGGAAATACGACCCTAATGGCAAGGAATTGAGCATGATTTCTAGTGCTTTGTGCTCAAGTCCTGACTTGAGCGTTGAGTAGAGTTCTAGAATACGACCTTACGAGTCGAGTTCCGGCGGGAACGACTTGGTTGGCTTGGGTTTATCTAATACTTTTATTTAAACTTTTTATATTGTATTAGAAGTATCGCCGATTACACTAAACTTGTTAAACTTTTAAATACATTTGAAGCTATTTAACTTGAAGTTCGATTGAAATTGGTGACAACTGTCAAACGTCTAAAAACCCCCTCTGCATATTATTATTATTATTAAATTTATGTGTAATAGTTTGATATAAGTGTAAACAATTTTTACTTATTCATTATTCTTATTTTATTGTGCAGTAATCAATCCCGCAGACTTCCTGACTTCTTTCTTTAACACAGCTACAGTGGGCTGGAAAAGATATTTTCTAATGTATTATTTAAGTATATTAATCTCTTTTCATAATAAAAATGTAAAAAAAATTAAATAATATGTAAAATAAATCATAGTAAAATGTATAAAAAAATAACTACGAAAGAGGCTGCGTCACAGCTGGTTGCCAACAAAAGTTTAAAAACAAACAAGCAATAGACAAAAATCATAATACATACATAGGTACAACGATTCCTTTTATGTAACCCTAATACACATAATTTAGGGATTCAAAATATAAAACTTAGGCCGCCTTCAAATAGACGCATGTAGATGCGCTGCAGTAGTGCAGTGGCGCCACTGTGGCATAGCAGCCGCTAGCGCTTCAGTGATTTTTAGTATACTAATTGTGACTGCAAGGGTGACGCGCGCGTGTCACTACAACGGCGCTGCAAATGCGCTTCTAAATATTGTGGGAAAATTAGTAGTCGCGCAACTGCCATACCACAGTGGCACCACTGCAGCGCTTTTATCAAAATCTTTGGCACCCTTAATGTTTAATATCGAACAAAATTAAATTTCATAAAACCTGCCCCCGAGTCTGATATTGTAATAAGTTCATATTGAGCAAATTCAGACAAATTAATTTCCGCACGCATGTAATAATATTCTCTGGAATAATATATATGATACGTAAATACATGACAGGAGATAATGAAATCGTCTGTTCAAATTATGTTGAAATGAATAATTCCATTTCAGATTCTAATGGAGAGAAAGCGGAGAATGGAATCAGTGTAAGTATAAACATTTTTATTTCGTTTATTAATATATTTGTCTGATTATACAGGGTAACAAGAAATTATCACTTTATTTCAAATGGTAAATGCACTCATGGTAACAAATAACATTATTTTATTTTTTGTTTTTCTTTTTGTGGCGGCTGCTTTTTATAATCTTCATTTTAATCAACTCATATGCCTCATTGCTAAGCAATGGTTTCCACCTAGGAAAATGTTGAAGCCATGAGCCACCACGCCGACCATTGGCGACCAACCCGTATTAGCGGGTTGATAACTCCGCGTCTTCCAAGAGTTACGTGAATTTCATCTAACATGCTGTTTTTTTTATAATCCAAGTGATGGGATGTCGCGCACCTGGTGGTAAGCGTTACGCCTATCCATAATAGTTGCAGTGCTACTCAGAGCTTTTAATCGCAAAGATCTTAGGGGCACTGCCACTGTGCCAGTCACCCTGAGACATAACTTGACAAGTCCCATGTGCCTGTAATTTCACCAAAGTTTCATTGTAATCTTTTTCTTTGCCGTTTTTAGTTACAATGTGGAATTATAATATATTTTCTTGAATTTTAAATATATTTTTGGCCAAATATCATGCATACATTTAGCAACTGAAATGTGATAATAGTTTTTGTTACATCTTGTATAAATGCGTACTCTAAAAATGTATTTTTACCTATAATAGTTAGATACGAGACCGATAATATACAGAATGAAAATAGCAGTAGGTATGTGGGCGAAAAGGCCTCCACACTCAAGTGGGTTAGGGATCACATGTATGGAACCGACTCGGACCGGTGAACATATATTATTATCCCACTACGTAATGAATACCAAAAAGAAGGGTAACGGAAGCAGGACTTTTCCATAAGTAAACAAATTACACTTGAAATCGTTACATTGATTAACCAATACTACTAATGCGTAAAACAAATTTCTCTGAAAATAATGAATTGGAAACTCTACCGATTGTTCTTTGTGGATAAACATTAATTCAAATCAAAAACAGAAACATCCCGAAAGAGCTAAACGGTTAGTACCGTGGATTTTTGTCATCCAAACACAGAAGCTATAAAACATGACCGTTAGTGATAAAGTTTTTGTTATACTATAGGTTTAAACCCAGTAGATGCAAAATTTGAATATCAATCGAAATTTTATTATAGGAACGTGTGATTGCCCCTATTAAATGTATTTTCGACTTTTTAAAGACGACTGTTTTTCATGAAAATATTCTTCTTTACAATTTTAGTTAATTTTTAGTTAATAGTTAATTTCTTTACAACAAGGGAATTAAGTCGCTTAAATACTCTAATATAGAGTGAAAATTACCATGACGGTATGTTTTTGAGGGATAAAGATTTTATTAATATCGGCGGCATTGCTCCAAACCAAAGTGCAGTATGTCATTAAACTGGGAAACCAGATAAAGTAATCCAATCTAGCGGCTTCTACGTCTGAAAGTTTCGTATTTTTTTATTTGAGTACACTGCAGAGCCGAGTCATTTTGACAACGTAGTTACTTGTAAACTCCATTGTAATTGAACACCTAAAATGAAACTGAAAATACAATTATATCTACGAAGTTCAATTTTCAATTTGCAACAATCTGATTTAATAAAAAAAAAGAGTGAGATATGAAATTAAGTTCTCCAATTAACCGTTATTCTTACGCCTAGGATAGTAGACTATGAATAATTTAAGAGCCTGAGCTGCGGGGCTATTGAACCGGTATGAAAATATATACCATTTTATGGAAACAGTATAAATCGTTCCGTCACCTTTAAAATAACTTTTCCCACATACTTCTTTCTCGACAGGTAATGACATCAGCATCCTGCAAATGTAGTCTCAACGACATCTCCCAAATCTTAGAGACGATGCCTGAGCTGAAGGGTCCGCCTGGACCTCAAGGGCCTACAGGTGATGATGGAACAACTGGAGCTCCTGGAAAAACGGTAATAGTTTAAATGAAATAGTTACTATTGAGTTCTTAGTTCTTCGTGATAATTACATATTGGAAATGAAACTGACCCTGGAGACAGCCGCGACAGTGAATTCTAAACGTGAATTGTGTGCAAAAAACAAGTATACACAGTTTAGATCCTAAAAAATAGTTTCATTTTCAATAACATGTTTAGAGCATATTGTAGTTTTATAATACGTGCAGTTTGCGGAGATATTATTCGCAACGAGCCTACGGGACCTCCGGACTCAGTATAATAATGCGTTCTGTGGTGGGGCTGCCCCGCTTCTGTAACGCGTCAGGAATATTCGCAAAGTGGATTGCTTTTACGCGACTATGCGCAAGAGAAACACGTCCAGGGTGCACTAGGTATGGGCCAGCCCCAACACCATCCTGCGCTCGATTGCGGTCGTACATGAGACACTGTTGTGAATTGCATGTATCCAGCAATGTCTATTATGTATAATTTTGTACCCTATCAATATAGATATTAAGTGTCTCAATGTTACTTGAAATAAATGAATTAGGTACTTCTGATTCTTCTATATTTTTTCTGGTTTATTCTGCTTATTACATAGCCGCTCACGCGATATATGTAGCCGTAGACGCATACCACACCTAGAGGTGCCGGTGATGATTTTATACCGATTTATCGGATATCGAAGTTATAACAGGTAAAAGAACTAATACTAATTGCTATTTCGGTAACTACTCTAGCAAACCATAAAGTATTTAATGCCTGGGTCTGTCATTTAAAAAAATAAACAACTTTAAAAAATACGTCACGACAATCGTGTGTGTTATTGTTTGGGCTAGTGATTTCGGTGTTTATTTATTGAAAACATACCGTAAGTAGCGTTTTTTAAGTTTACCCTGAATATAAATGTTTATAAACTATACTTTAAGGAGTAATTTCATGGTAAACGTTAGAACCACTCAAACGGAATATTATCATATTTACCCAAGTACACCAAAAATTTCATTAGTGCTTTTTAAGTGCAGGATTTGCGGTGTATTACTGCATTTTATTTGAGATGTTTTTGTTGTAGTACGGAGGGTATTTATTTAGCAATGCAGAATTATAATTTTTATTTATAAAAACTTGTATTTAAACTAAATCCTTTTCTAATTTGCGAAACCAAATAGCCGCCATTTTGAGGTAGGATGAGCGCATCGCGTGAGCGGCTAAAACATTGCTTCTAAAAAATCTGAATTTATAGATGTCGTTCACTTTATTATCTACAAGGTAGATCTACGTCGATATAAGAATCACACAGTATAGGCGAAGATCGCGTCACATACGCTCATTTACCTGTCTACCTAAATTGGTTTAGGCAAATTGGGAGCAATTAGTATATTATGTAAATAGACTCTTCGTTTTGTTCGTTCAAAATGTTCAAAAATATTTTGACGTTTAATGAAAATGAACTCTATGGGAAAATGATAAAGGTGCTCTTTTGAGTGATTTTGAAATTCAACTGACAACAATTGAAAGTGCAGTTTCAAATGATTGTGATAAGGTTGTATTTATCAAATGTATAGATATTGTTTATTCAGTCCAACCAACAATTTTTGACGCTGACTGCCTAGTATATATACGAGGTAGTCATGCGTCTTGTGGTAAGCGACACGCCTGTTCATAGCAGTTCCAGTTCCACAAAGAGAGTCACTGCCATTGCCCCCGTCACTATGAGACGTAAGCTGACGAATCTCAGGTGCCTGTGATTTCACCAGCACTCTTATCCTTCAAAACAGGAACGCACTAATGCTCACATTACTGCTTGGCGGCAAAAAAGGTGTGGTGGCAGTACTTCCTTGGACGAACTCTTTCACAACGAGCTCTACAGCTACTGAAAAACAATGATGGCGTAATTATTACACAACTCGTATGCAGTCAAAAGCACATCTTGGACTGTTCTTGTTGTAAGCGACATAGAGTTCAATTTAAATCTGGATCTTGAAGCTTGACGTATTTTTGACATAGTCCATACCATCCAAATTGCAAAGCTCTTCGTTCGAAGACACTTTACTGATTTTTTTTCTTAATATCAAGTGACGGGATAAACTAGTCGTATGGTCGGTAGTAAGCCTAGGCCATAATCGGTAGTAAGCTTAACAGTTGCAGTGTTACTCTGAGCTTAAAATCACAAAGATTTCACCAGCACTCTTACTCTTCAAAACCGTAACACAGTAATGTGAGCTAGGTGGCAGAAATAGGTAAAGTGACAGTACTTGGAGGTCGGGTCTGAACAGTTGCATTGCGTCTGACGGCGAGTTGTAGCTGCTTGTACTGCCACACTGAGCACTCGGTTCTGGAGGCTAGCGGGATCCGAAGCACGGTGCACCGCTGGCCGACCGTGGGAAGTTGGGGGCCCAAGTAGCGGGAAAGCCACCCGTGAAAGGCTGCCCCGCCACCCAACGAAAAATCCCGGAATGCTCCACCTTGCCGGTTGGCGACCGGAAGGGAGGACCAGGTGGCCATCTCCGGGGGGGTTCGGGCGTCCCCGCGGTCTCCAAGCCGATTGTAACCTCGTGTGGCAGTATGAGTCTGCTGCTTGGTTGAACGCGACGCAGTGCCTCGTTCAACTGCCTTCCTCCTGCCTATTCACTTCTCCAAAAACAGAATGAAAAACTTTAAAAATGGAAAAAAGTATACACAGCGGTTGCACGTCCTCCCACTAAAAGTGCACCTCACTAACATCCGAGGTCTGCACTCAAATCTCGATTCGGTCCACTACCACCTTGAAACCGACAAACCGCAGCTGCTGTTCCTCACAGAGACGCAGATCAGATGTCCGACTGACGCAGCGTACCTCAGCTACCCCGGGTATACTCTGGAGCACAGGTTCGTACCTCGTGCCGGAGTCTGTGTGTACGTTCGCGATGACATCTGTGTCAAGCGTCTCAAGAACCTTGAGGCACCGAGTTTTTCAATTTTATGGCTTCTGGTTGACACAGGAGTTACACAAATAGTGTACTGCTGTGTTTACCGATCGCACAGTGGAGATCAGGAGACGACCAAGCTGTTCCAATATCTAAGTGAGACGTCTGATGAGATTCAGCATAGGTACCCAGCGGCGCAACTAGTCATTCTGGGGGACTTTAATGCACACCATCAAGAATGGTTGTTCCCATACCAGAAGACCGATCACGCTGGGAGAGAGACGCGTAAACTTGCGTTAACGCTAAGCTTATCCCAGCTTGTCAGTGGCGCCACTAGGATACCAGATGTTGAATCCCATACGGCTAATTGCTTGGACCTTCTGCTGACAACTGATCCGGACCGATACTCTGTGGTTGTGGAGGCCCCACTGGGTACTTCCGACCATTGTCTGGTGAAAACTGTATCCGTATACTCCCCACCCGATCAGGGCCCTAGTGGTATGAGACGGGTGTGGCGATACAAGTTAGCAGATTGGGACGAAATGCGCCATTTCTTTGCGTCATATCCCTGGCAGGCGTGCTTTACTTCAGGAGACTCGTCGAGCTGTGCTGATGCTGTAGTCGAGGTCTTGCGTTTGGGTATGGAGTATTACATTCCATACTCTGATGTACCCAATGGACCCCAAGCTCGTCCATGGTTTAACGCTAATTGTAGTTGTGCTGAAGCACGTAAACAGTCCGCGTACCAAGCTTGGGCAGATGCTCGACTACGCAAAACTCCGAGTACTCAGAACATGAAGAAAGCTTTTAATAAGGCCGCCAAGAAGTGCAAAAGCATGTTACGTAGGGCCAAGTTCGACCATGTGCGCCGCATAGGAGCCAAGCTTGCCTCTTATCCAGCAGGCAGCAAATCCTTTTGGTCCCTGGCCAAAGCGGTCGAATCGAACTTTTGTCGCCCATCTTTGCCACCTCTGCTGAGGCCGGATGGTTCGCTGGCTCATACTGCGGAAGAGAAGGCGAATCTCTTTGCCTCACTCTTTGCAGAAAGTTCGCGTCTAGATGCCGCAGGGACCCTACCACCTACTTTACCTCAGGCTGGCTGCACTATGGCGCCAGTTCGCATACGCCAAAAAGAGGTACTTAGAACTCTGCGAAATCTAGACGTGAATAAAGCTAGCGGGCCAGATGGAATTCCAGCAATAGTCCTGCGTAACTGTGCACCTGAGTTGTCTCCTGTTCTCACACGCCTGTACCGCCTCTCACTTGAGACTGGTGTAGTTCCCAGGTCGTGGAAGCTTGCAAACGTGCAACCTGTACCAAAAAAGGGAAGCAGAGCTGACCCTGTCAACTATAGACCTATCTCAGTCACTTCCATACTCTGCAAGACTATGGAACGTGTACTCAACAACCGTCTCCTATCGTACCTTGAAGACAACGATCTCCTCAGTGATCGCCAGTACGGATTCCGACGAGGGCGATCTACTGGGGATCTTCTTGTGTATGCCTGTCACATATGGAGCGAGGCTATAGAAAAGCAAGGCGAAGCACTTGCAGTGTCTTTGGACATTTCTAAAGCCTTTGACAGGGTCTGGCACACAAGCCTTTTAAGCAAGCTTCCCTCTTATGGGCTTCCCACTGACCTTTGCAATTGGATCTCGGATTTCTTGAGCGAACGTTCGATTCGAGTGGTCTTAGAAGGCTACTCTTCCGAACATATGGCGATAGATGCCGGAGTTCCTCAGGGTTCCGTACTGTCTGCAACTCTCTTTCTGCTGCATATCAATGATATGTTAATTCCAGGTACCTTTGCGTATGCTGATGACAGCACAGTTGTAGATAGGTACTTGACCAATGCAAGGGTCAGTGGAGAGGAAATCCAGTCTTGTCGAGAGTCCATGGTTAGCCGTTTAGATTTGACACTCCAGGCAGTCTCCGATTGGGGCAATGCCAATCTTGTCAAATTTAACGCTACCAAAACGCAGGCGTGTCTATTCTCCACAAAACGGAGTCCCTTTGAGCTGACTCCGACTTTTCGTGATATATCCATACCGATAGCCGATTGTCTCCAGCTACTTGGAATGGACCTGTCGTCCAATTTGAACTTCGGCA